GCCCATCTCTTAGGATCGACTAACCCATGTCCATTGCTGTTCACTTGGAACCTTTCTCCACTTCAGTCTTCAAAGTTCTCATTTGAATATTTGCTACTACCACCAAGATCTGCACTAGATGCCGATTCACCCAGGCTCACGCCAGAGGCTTAGTCTCGACACCCACGCCCTCCTACTCATGGACGCGTCGCACTTGCATCCATGGCCGAGTATAGGTCGCGCGCTTAAGCGCCATCCATTTTCGGGGCTAATTGATTCGGCAGGTGAGTTGTTACACACTCCTTAGCGGATTTCGACTTCCATGACCACCGTCCTGCTGTTTATATCAATCAACACCCTTTGTGGGATCTAGGTTAGCGCGCAGTTTGGCACCTTAACTCGACTATCGGTTCATCCCGCATCGCCAGTTCTGCTTACCAAAAATGGCCCACTTGGAGCTCACATTGAATGTGACGGTTCAGTTAAGCAACCGACACGTCTTACCTATTTAAAGTTTGAGAATAGGTGAAGGATGTTTCATCCCCCGAACCTCTAATCATTCGCTTTACCCGATAAAACTGATCAAGCTCCAGCTATCCTGGGGGAAACTTCGGAGGGAACCAGCTACTAGATGGTTCGATTAGTCTTTCGCCCCTATACCCAAGTCTGAAAAGCGATTTGCACGTCAGCACATCTACGAGCCTCCACCAGAGGTTACTCTGGCTTCACCCTGCTCAGGCATAGTTCACCATCTTTCGGGTCCCAACAGGTATGCTCGCACTCAAACCTTTCGCAAAAGCAACATGGTCGGTCGATGGTGCAGGCACAGGCCATCCCACCAGTCAGGTTACTTGCGCTTACGGNGTTTTCAACCCGCCAACTCGCATACATGTTAGACTCCTTGGTCCGTGTTTCAAGACGGGTCGATTAACGCTTTTCTGCCAGAGTCTTTAGGATGCGGATCCCGAAGGACAAAGCAACCTTCACGCCTTGGTCATCTCGGCGGCATCGGCCGGGTTACCGGGGTGGACCCAACTGTTTTCCCGCCAAGACAACCCACTCTGACCAGCACCCAGCACATTCAATGGGCCGTTAGGCACACTTAAGCCTGGGGGCACACACAAGCGCTAATCGCTTCCCTCTCAACAATTTCAAGCACTTTTAACTCTCTTTTCAAAGTTCTTTTCATCTTTCCCTCACGGTACTTGTTCGCTATCGGTCTCTCAGCAGTATTTAGCCTTAGAAGGGATTTACCTCCAAATTAGGGCTGCATTCCCAAACAACCCGACTCGTGGAAAGCACCTCGTGAGAGGACTAGGCAGGAACCGACGGGGTTATCACCCTCTCTGACGCGGCATTCGATCCGACTTGAGTTCCGCCAGCCCATGAGGGCGCTTCTGTAGACTACAATTCTCCAAGGGGAGATTTTCAAGTTGGGCTATTCCCGGTTCGCTCGCCGTTACTAGGGGAATCCTGGTTAGTTTCTTTTCCACCGCTTAATGATATGCTTAAGTTCAGCGGGTAACCTTGCCTGAGCTCAGGTCGAGAAAAAAATAGTACACTTGCTGTACTACACAGTACTACAGAGTCCCGTGCAGTACAACAGTAATCCTGATTTTTTGCGAAACACAGAACCTCANAGCCATCTACTAAAGCATTGCAGCAAGCAACGTATGCATTACATAACGCTGACTTTGCCTACCCAGTAAAGGCCCGATGAAACGGTCCACGGTTAAGCATCTACATACTTCAATTCACCCGGCATTAAACGATTTGAGTAAATGATTTAATGCC